GGGGGGGGTTGTTCTTGGGTCGAATGAAGGATGGCTTGAGTCCAGCCAAGGGGGCCTAAGGTCTAACAAGGGATATCTTGAGTCTAAGAAGGGTGGCTCTTGGATCTAATGAGGGACATCTTGAGCCCAACCAAGGGGGTCTTAGGTCTAATGGAGGACAGCTTGGGTCTAATGAGGGATGTCTTGAGTCCAGTGAGGGATATTGTGAGTCTAACAAGGTGGTTCTAACACAGAATGGCTTGAGCCCAATGAGGGGGGTCTTGGGTCTAATGAGGGATGTTTTGAGTCCAACGGGAGGGTCTTGGGTCTAACAAGGGACGTCTTGAGTCTACCATGGTTGAGAGCCACTGGTCTAACCCTATGGTCTTGGGTTCTATGATAGTCCTCTCTACCAGGCTGGAAGGAGAAGATGGGATGGGTGAAGGAGGTGGACCTGAGCCCCTGATGGTGTGGTAGATTGTGGGTAGGCTGGGCCATGGAGGGTGTGATGTTAGGGGCACAGGGGTGGAGCCAATGATGAGAAGCCACGGGAAGGAAGTTGTCTTTCTCAAGGACCAATAAGGATTTGATCTTCCCTCTACAGTGACGGTGAAGGAGGAACAGGTCAAAGATGGTGCCCCTTGGTAGGACGGCCATTAAGCTGCTGGGGGCTGTGTTGCTCTTTGTGTCTCCAGGTAGGGGAGTGTGTGTGTGTATGTGTGTGTGTAGGTGGGAGGATGCCCTGCTGAATTTGCACTTGGCATGTGCCCTCCTGGGTGTGTCGGAGTGCAAGAGACAGGCTTATTTGGGTGGGGGTGGGGTGTTGTTGGGCATGTGTGTGTAGGCGCATGCCTGTGTGATCATGCGTGCATGGACTTGTGTGCATCTATGTGTGGTGAGTGTTTTTGTGGGGGGGTGGAGGCAGAGGGAGGGATAAACATAGGTTACTGGTATGGCTCTGTGGGCAGGGGTTGGTGGGGTATGTGTGTGTGTGTGTGGGGGGGGCTCTGTGCATGGTGTATTAGAAAGTGTGTGTGTGTGTGTGTGAGTGTGGGTGTGGGTGTGTGTGTCCTGGACTCCTGGGCTCTGTGCATGGACAGGCCCACAGGGGAATTCCAGGAGGGAATCCTGTGCCTCTCTGTTTTATCACCCAGCTTCTTACCTGGTGCTAATGGGTCAGTCCAACCTCCCCACCCCCAGGCCCCATGAACCTGAAGCCCATCCATGGGGTTGGAGTGGGCATCTCATCCCTGTCCCCCTGTTCACCCTGGTGTTAATCCAGAGTGACTCTAGTTGTGGGGAGAGGGTGGAATCCCGGTGTCTCGCCCTGCACCCAGATCGCGCCTCCTACTGCCTCCCCTTGCAGGGTCCCTGGACCCAGGGGAGAACCGGATCACGGGTGGCTACCCATGTAAGTGGGGCTTACAGCCATGGCAGGCCGCCTTGTTCAGAATGAACCAGTTCTACTGTGGTGCCGTGCTCATCTACCCACAGTGGTTGCTCACGGCAGCCCACTGCAAGCCCCGGAGGTAAGGAGAGGGGAGGCTGTGTGCACACCGGTGTGCACGCATGTGTGTGTGTGTGTACATATGTGGTGCATGTGTGTGGGTGTGCATATAAGTGTGCACACATGTATGGGAGTGCATGTGGGCATGCATGTGGGTGCATGCAAGCACATGTGGGTGTGCATGCTAGTGCACACACAGACATGTACATACATGAATGTGTACACCTGCCCATGTGAGTGCATGCACATTCATGCATGTGTGCACAAATGTGTACCAGCAGGCCCCAGTAAGTCCATGTGCCTGCACATGTGTGTGCCTGCATGTGCATAAGTGTGAACATGGGTGGGTTTCTTTGTGATACACACACATGTTGGGGCCAAACCTGCATGTACACATGTATGAATGTGTGCCACATTTGTGCTTTCATGTGTATGAGAACTCATGTGCATGTATGCACCCAGGTGTGTATGCAAGTGTGCTTGCACCCATGTGTGCATGCATGTATGTGCACACGCATGACTGCATGTGTACCTGGGTTTGCGCATGTGCGTGAATGTGTGGGGGAGGGTGCAGGGATTAGTGGTGCAGGGAGTCCGCACGTGGGTGTACAAGCATATGTATGCATGTGTGTGTTCCCACGTGCTTCTGTGTGTGCATACACTGGCAGGTAGATGCATGTGGTTGAGTGCAGGCGGGCCTACATGCTTGTGCAAACCCACATATGCCACACGTGTACACATGAACATGCATGTCTGGTGTGCTGGGGACCCGAGGCCAGCCTCTCTATATTTTTCCCAGCACGGAAAAGAATTTCAGCATCCGCGTGGGCAAGCATGACCTCTTTGTGCTAGAGAAGACAGAGCAGAGCAGTGAGATCAGTGACTTCATCCCTCACCCGAAATATGACCCAAGGACCAAAGACAATGACCTCATGCTCCTCAGGATCAAAAACCCCGTGAAGTTCAATGACTACATCCGGCCAGCTACCCTGACATCTATGTCCGTCCAGCCTGGCACCTCCTGCATTGTGTCTGGATGGGGCCTCACCAGGAGCAGCCCTACACGTAGGGATGACCCCCGGCAGGGGATCAAACTAGGGGCTCTCTGGGTCTCATGGAGCAGGAAGAAGAACAATGGATGGTGGGAGGAGAGGGACGAAGGGCAGGGAGTGGGAAGCAGAGCAACAGATGGGGTGAGAAGAACAAGATAGGGAGCTGAATGCAGAACAGTGGATGGGGCTGGGTGTGTAAGGCATGGAAAAGAAAGCAGAGTGGTAGATGGAGTAGGGAACACAGGGCATGGAGACGAAAGATGAGGAAGAGATACAGGTCAGGGAGCAGAAAGAAGAGCAGCAGATGGAGAGGGAAGAATGAGGTAGGGAGCCAAATGCAGAACCGTAGATGGGGCAGGGCATGTAGGGCACAGAGAAGAAAGCAGAGTGATGGATGGGGTAGGCAGCACAGGGCAGGGAACAGAAAGCAGAGCAGCAGATAAGGCAGGGAACACAGGGCAGGGAGCAGAAAACAGAGCAATAACTGATGAGGCAGGGAATACAGGACAGGGAGAAGAAAACAGAGCAGTGGATGGGGCAGACAGCACAGGGCAGGCAGCAGAAAACAGAGCAGTGGATCACAATCCTGATCGTCTCATTAATTTCGGATCCCCCTCCTTTCCCTGGCCCCAGCCACCTACCCCGATGCCCTGCAGTGCGCCTGGCTCAAGGTCATCCCCCAGCAGACCTGCCGGAGGGCATATCCAGACACCATCACGGACAACATGCTGTGCGCCGGTGTGGAGCAGGGCGGCACGGACACCTGCCAGGTCTGGGGGTGCCCCCAAGGCCACAAAGCAGGGTGGGCAGGGCCTCTTCCAGGGTGGGCTCTGAGGGGGGCTGACTCCGTTCTCCCCCCTGGCTCAGAGCGGGGAAGGAGTGTCCAGGACCCACATTGTGGTCATGGGGGGGCCAAGGTGGTAAGTTTTGCTCTCCACTTGCTGAGAGGTGTTTCCCAGGGGCCCTGGGCTTCAAAATGGAGAAGGGAAGAAAGGGGGAGGGTGGGAAGAATGGATGGATGGAGGGGCTGGGTAGATAGAAAGGATGGATGGAGAGATAAAGGGATAGAGGGAATTCATGGAAGGAGGGAGGAAGGGAGGGATAGGCAGGTAAGTAGGTACTTGATTAATAAATAGGTCGAGCAAGCAATAGACAGAGGGGATGGATGAATGGATGGAATAAATAAATGGATAGAGGGAATTGATGGATGGGATGGATGGCTAGAAGGGATGGATGGAGAGATAAATGGATAGGGGGTTGATGGATAGATGGAGGGGAGGGAGGGATAGGTGGGTAAGTAGGTACAATGATCAGTACATAGGTCAATAAAGCAATAGACAGAGGGGATGGATGGATATGAGGAGTGTGAATGAATGAAGAGAGATCGGGCATATGTGAGGAGAGAGGGGTTGAAGGCCTGTGTGGGGATGGATGGACGGATGGATGGACGGACGGATGAACGGACAGACAGACAGACTGACAGCAGTAGATGGATGGAGAAATAAAAGAAGGATGTGAGGACAGATGGATGGACAGAAGGGGCATATGGGGAGGGATGGATGCACAGCCGGATGGATAGAGAGATGACCCAGCTCCAGGACACCACCTCAGGCTCTTCTAACAAGGGGTTCCCTTCTGATTGCACATCCAGGTGGAGCTTGGTGAGGTCCATGCCTTCACCTTGCCCACCATTTGACAGTGGGTGGGGCCACAGGCTCATTTGCATGCCCCCAGCCCCAGTGCGTGGGTGGTGACACTCCCGGGCTCTCTCCACAGGGTGACTCCGGGGGACCCTTGGTCTGCAGCGGGACCCTCCAAGGCATCGTGTCCTGGGGGATGGAGGCATGCGGCCTGCCTGGGAAACCTGGCATCTTCACGAGGGTCAGCCGTTACCTGCACTGGATCAAAGATGAAACGGACAAATATAAGTGACCACCTCCAATAAAACCAAAACCATGAGGCCTCTCGGCATCTTCCTTTCACCCCTCGCATCAGGGCCACAGAAGACCTCCAAACAAGGGGTGTCCTGGGTAATATCAATGTGGGGTCCTCCTAGCTGGCTTGAGTCTTCAGGGATGAACTTGTTTTCCTGGAAGATACAGAGGGCTCATTCCTGGTTAGGGTCTTGACCTCTCCCTCCCCCAACAAAAAAAGTCAAAGGATCAGGGGAAAGTTGGGCTGGAAGAGACCTCCAGAGGTCACAACTAGTCCAGCCCCTGCCCCCACCCAGCCAAGCGTCTGTCCAACCTGCTCTTGATGATCTCCAAGGATGGAGAGTCAGCCTGTTACAATGTGGGACACTTCTCAGAGTCAGGAAGTTTTTCCTCATCTCCTGCCTCAGTTCCCCTGCTGCAGCCTGAGGCTGTTCCTCCTAGTGCTGTTCCTTGTGACACCCAAGAAAAGTTCATCTCCATCCTGGATGGATGGGTGGACGGATGGACAGATGGACAGAAGAGGTATACGAGGATGAATAGACAAAGAGATGATCCAGCTCCATGACATCACTTCAAGGATGTGAAGAATTTGCGGATCTTGTCCAAGCCCTGCCCACTCCCCCCAAGCCCCGCCCATGGCACTGTCTTCATTGCCTGGTGAGTGCCGTCATACAGGGTGACCCCAGATGCCTCCATGTCTGATTTTCTGTGCCTTTGGGCATAGAAGTGACTAACCTCATTGGCAGCATCTTCCACCATGGGTGGGTGTCTGATGTCACAGGTAGAAGGAACTTGGAGAGCTCCTGGTCATTGGCCACCTTCAGCCTCTTCCACCATTGACAGAGGGTGGGGCCACCTTCTGATGCCACAACTGGGCAGAGCTTGGAGATTTTATGGCATTGGTCACCCCCCACAGCCCAGCCAATGGGCTTCTTCCATCTCCTTGTGTGGGTGAAGTCACCTTCTGATGTCACAGCTGGGCAGAGCTCAGAGAGTTCCATGTTCTTTCCCCTTCCCAAAATGATCCCTGGACATTTCCTCAACCTCATGGAGGTGGGAGATGGTTGTGAGATATCCAGCCCTGGCTTGGGCCCATCTCTCTATGCCACTGCCCTAATGGTAACCTCACACCCAAGAGATGGGCATCCGCCTTTCCCATTGACTGGAGGTCTTGGCTTTGGGTTGGACCCAGGATGTGGACAAGAACTGAAGCACATTTGACACAGGTGTAACCTCCTGAGGGCCCTTCTAGCCCACCATCTCTATGATCACATGCTACAAGACATTCAAATGCATGAGAGCATATTTGACCCAGGTGTGGCCTCCTGAGGGCCCTTCTAGCCTGCTGTCTATATGATTGCATGCTACAAGACACTCAAATGCAAGATAATTTAATATCATGAAAGGGGAAAAATAATCCAGCCACATCAAGGAAACATTGGAGTTCCCCTTGGTGTTATTAGGAGTCTTCTGGGGGAGCTGAGTGGGGCTGGGACTGTCTTGAAGGGAAATGAGAGTAAGGTAGTGTTGGCAGAGAGATCTACAGCTTTGATAGTGGTGGGATGTTCTTCTACGCAGGGAACGTCCAGCCCCTAGTATGCAGAGAAGGGTCAGTAGTGCTGGATCATGTAGCGGATCCACTCATAGTACTTGCAGACATTCACATACACGCCAGGTTTCATGGTGGTGATACAGGGCACGTCGCCCCAAGACACCAAACCTTGGAGTCTCCCATCACAGACCAGGGGTCCTCCAGAATCGCCCTGTAGTGGGGAGAAGCATGTCAATGTCAAGGACACTGCATTTCCCATTCTGGATCTCAAACGGGGACCTCCCTGTCTCCCCACCTCACCTCACAGGACTCAGTGCCCCCGTTCTTCATAGCGGCACATACCATGGTGTCCTTCACACTACCGGGGTAGGCAGCTGAACACTGCTCCCGGGACAGGATGGTGACGTTGGCACAGTAAAGGATGACAGGGACGTCCCCTACAAGACACCTATCATCAGGGATTGGTGCCACCACTAGAACTTGAGGCCCATCAAGCCCGGGCACCAATGGACCCCACCTCCTCAATGAGTCCTTGCTGAAGTCTGGGCTCTTTCTACCTGAATAGGTGGGCAAAGAGAGGGACGCAGTTCTGGGACCCCCAAAGCCAGGGTTGGGTATGGCGGGGGCGGGGGGGCGGGGAGTGTGGAGATAACATGGATGGGTGGATGGCTGTGTCTCTGGGAATGGATGGATAGAGGGAGGCAGGAATGGATGGATATGTTTGTGTGTGTGTTTGGGGATGGATGTGTCTTTGGGAATGCATGGATAGAGGAAGGGAGGAATGGATGGATGTGTGTATCTGGTTTTAGGGATGGATGAATGGATGTGTCTGGAAATGGATGAATGGATGGATGCTCGGATGGATGGATGCTCACAGACCTGGATCAACAGGTCCATGCCTGGTTGACCATCTCCACTGGACTTGGGTAATACTCTCTTACGGCATTCAGTGGGGCTCCCCTTGACCTCTTCCGTACCACCCCCAGGCTCCCTGACGGCTCTGTGACCCCCATCACGACACTGCCCGTCCCTCCAGCAGGGGGTTCTCTCCCACCCCCTGTGGCACATCGCACCTGGGGCATTGAGTGTGCTGCCCCAGCCCGAGACCAGGCAGGCCTCGCCAGGCTGGACGCAGTGGGTGGCAAGGCCTAGGGGCTCAATGAAGCGGTTGTAAGTGACAGGCGTCTTCAGCTTCACCAGCATGAGGTCGTGTTCATGGGATGTGTAGTTGTACCCAGGGTGGATGATGGTCTTCTCCACAGCCTTGTACGTCTCTGTGCACTCGGGGGTGTTGAGGTTGTACTTGCCCAGGCGGACGTTGATGGGGCTGCGGAGGGGGCAGAGAGGGGACTGGGGCCTCCCAGAAATGCCCACGGGGTCGGAGCCCTGGGGCCCAGAGGCGGGGAGCTCAAGGAGGGCACAGAGGGTGTCAGAAGCAAAGGGGTGGGGAGGTCACAGGGCAGTAACCACTAGGACTGGATGGTGTGTGTGTGTGTGCGCGTGTGCGTGCGCGTGAGAGTGAGAGAGAATGAAAGTGTGAGAGAGAGATGGGATTTATCCATGGAGGGCATGGATGGGGGTATGTATGTGTGATTGAATGTGTGTGTGGAGGGGAGGTGTGTGTGTGAGAGAGAGATGGGATGTGTGTGTGGATGAGATGTATGGGTGTGTGTATGTGATTGGATGTGTGTGTGTGTGAGACAGAGAGAGAGAGAGAGAGATGGGATGTGTGTGGGGAGGTGATCAATTGGGGGGTGTATGTGTGTGTGTGTGTACGGGTTCGTGGGTGGATGGGGGCAGGGGTTTCAGGGCTGCCCCAACCCCCCACATCCCTCCCTCCACAAACATCCACCCCCCACACATAGGGGGAGCCACCAGTCCTCCATGCTCCCTAGTGGTCCAGTGCTACACCAGCACCTCTTCCTGACCCAGATGTGTGTCCCCATCCCCTTATTCCAGGGTAAATTTATTCCATTTTAAAAATCCAGGGTAAATTTAACATGGATTAAAAAATCCATGAGAAATGAAGATGTCTGGTGGGAGCCTTCTCCTCTAAACTGGAATGTGTTACACCAGCAGCTCTTCCTGGCCCCCGGCTGTGTCCTCACCCTCTTATCCTGTGATAAATCTATCCCAGGCTCAAAAATGAAAGGGAAATGAGTCCAGTGGGAGCCTGATCCTCTATAAAGCTGGAATGTGCTGCACAAGCACTTCTTCCTGACCCCGGCTGTGTGTTCCTTTTACCCCGTGGTCTCGAGCAGGTCCAAGGAGGTGATCCTCCCTCTCTATGCGACACTGGTCAGGCCACAGTTGGAGTACTGTATCCAGTTCTGGGCGCCGCACTTCAGGAGGAATATGGACAGCATGGAGAGGGTCCAGAGGAGGGCCACTCGCATGATCAGGGGTCAGCAGGGCAGGGCCTACGAGGAGAGGCTGAGGGACCTGAACCTGTTCAGCCTCCACAAGAGAAGGCTGAGAGGGGATCTGATGGCCATCTCTAAACTTACCAAGGGAGACCAGCAGGCATTGGGGGAGTCCCTGCTCCCCCGAGCAATACCGGGATCTAGTGGCCGTTTACAAACTAGTCAGGGCAGATTCAGGCTAGACATCAGGAGGCGCTACTTCACTGTCAGGGCGGCTAGGACCTGGAACCAACTTCCAAGAGAAGTGGTGCTGGCTCCTACCCTGGGGGTCTTTAAGAGGAGGCTGGATGAACACCTCGCCGGGGTCATTTGACCCCAGCGCTCTTTCCTGCCATGGCAGGGGGTCGGACTTGATGATCTGCTCAGGACCCTTCCGACCTGACCAACTATGAAACTATAAATTAATCCTGGATTAAAAAATCAAGGAGAAATGAGTCCACTGGGAGCATGATCCTCTGTGATGTTGGAAAAAATTGCCCCTGCCTGGTAGA